AATAATAAATCTTGTGATTATTATATGTAACATAAAACTTAAGTAAAAGTTTTCAGAACAAAAATTTAGATATACTTGCCGGTTTGTATTAACATAATAATTAGATTAAAATCGGGCAGACTAATTAAGATCGACAATTTTTTATGCTAATTTTGTTAAATTATATTTTTAAGAAATACCTTTTAGGAAGTCGTGCAGATTTTTTGATACCAATAACCATACAAATTATATACCTTACAATATCAAGATTATAACATTATATCTATCGCAAATTTAAACTTTCTATTGTATTAATAATACAATAGAATAAACCATTTTATTAAAAAAAATAGATTATTATATAAATAGTTTATTAAAACCACATACTCTATCTAACTACTTTTTCAAACATCTAGGCCGGTAATGTCTATACTCTCCACAATTTTCACACTGATTCTGACTCTTAGCTGGTGCTGGTTTTAGTTCTTCTGATTATTTAATTCGCTTAGAACTTTTGGGCCGTCCTTTTGCTTTATGCCTTTTTGGGTTTTGAAAAGATATTCTAGCCAATAGATTATTTTCTTTATCGTCTTCAATGTTACCTGAGCCATCATTATCATTACTGCATGTCTCACCATCATTATTATCAAAGCTATCTACTAACACATCCTTTTGCAATTCAGTTAATAAATCTTGTAGTTTCTTAAAAATGTTATGCCGGCGAAATTGAACTGCCCATTGTGTAATATCTCGTGCTACCCCCACAGCTCTCTATACAATTTTTGCTCATTAATATTCTTCTTTCTTTCATTTTGAAGATCAGCTATAGGTATAAACAATTTATTGGTATTATCTCTTATTAGCTCTACAGGTTGGTATTAAAAATGGTTTTTACTAAATCATGTAGTAACATAATAGGGCTCCTCTTGTAAATTGCTATGAATATCATTGTACTATCTTTTGTAAATATGTGTAATATGAAATGCAGCTATGGGACTACATAGCATCATCTAAAAAAAGTAACAACAAACTATTCCGTAATTTACAAGCCCTAAGCAGGAACATATATAGGTTTTGTTTGAAAAAAGTATTACAAAATGACAAAATTTTGATGCTGTAATTGTGTGAATAGCCCAGGTTTTTACAATTTTACTAATATCTATATTCTTTAACATATAATTTACAGAAACTTGCATTACATCTTCATCATCTTTAACAAATTGCATAGTATCTGATTTAGGCTTAAATAAAAAAATTCTGTAAGTATAATAAGCCAATTAGAATATTAAATTTAAAGACAATATAATGCATACTTCTTGATATCTAGTTAGCTCAGCTTTTGTTATAGAAGATGCTTGATAATTTAAACAACTTTTAACCTCAATACATTGAACTTTTAGCATCACAGATGTAAAAAAATGACTCAAAGCCTTGTCAACTTCAGAAAACAATGCTTGCGGTAATATGATAACAGAAGATGTTAATGAAATTTGGGTTTTTCAGTAAATATATTTAGTTTTGTTACTTTCTTCATTTATATATGTTTCTAAAGCATTAGCAAGTTCTATAAGACTAACATTAGAGTTTAAAACTAATTGCTTTATTTGAGCATTGTAACTCTCAACTCTTGATGTTGTCTGTACATTGGCTGTAAAAGTTTAGCTGTGTATGCACGTACCCATGCATGTTTCGATGAATATAGTGTTTGCAGATACTTGACAACTCTAGGCTCATTATATTTTTCAGTGTCTTGATAGTATTATCGTTTAAAATAATATTGCTAAACTTTATCCAGAGAATAATTTAATTGGGGGACATCCAAAATAGTCTTCAGAGACTATGTGTTTCTCTGTCCCAATCAATTGTGATGTACTAGCTAGAATCTTCTTTCTTCTTTCTTAATAAATACTTATACAAGGATGTTGTATCATTTGAAATATCTTTCTGCTTCTCACAATAAAATTTTGCGGTTGCCTTGTGAACTTCAGAAAGATAAATTTCACAATCAGGAAATTCTTTCTTTAAAGCTTTTTTGATCTATAATAGTTTTAGCTTAATCACATTAACATAAAACTTTACACGTTCACACATTTTTTGTGTAAATTCAATGCCATTAAAAAATCTCTCTCTATTAGGAGATAGAATATGATTATGTGTATTGCTTAAAGTTATAATATAGATAAAGCTATGTGGATTGTCTTTTGTTGGCTGTGACAAGTTTATATGCCACGGGCACTTTATGTACTTGGTATTCATTTCCTTAACTAATTGCTTGTTTCTTGGCTTATACTTGCCACTATGTTCACAATCTATTGTTCGTTTGCGTATAACCCTGTTAGAAGTTTTTTCACTATGGTCTTTTCTTAATCCAAACCCTTTCTGTTAAGCATATATTGCTATTATATTTAATGTTTCTTCCTAACTTTTAAACATTCCTTCTTCACATAAATCTTCTTCAAAAACACCCAACTCCTTATTCTCCT